CATCATTGAGAGCTACAGCACCCAGGTCTGCAATGGCAACTAACTGAACAATCACTGGCAGTCACCCTGAGCAAGACAAACACAAAACAATTAACGTGCTCCTTCCTACTAGCAAAAGAGAAGCAGCACGGATGAGAACAAAATCTTGAGTTCTGCGTGGGTTTTTGTGATTGGATGAGAGGCTTTGGTCTGTGAACTGACCTGGACTTTGTATCCCTTTGGAAAGGCTCAAATGTCCAAGAGTCTGTTGGTTTAGGGACAGCTCCACAATGAAACGCCCAGCAGTGGAAAGGGTAGCAGAGCCTTCGCTGACCTCTTTCTTGGGACAAGCATTGTCAAACAAGGACATGCGGCAAAACACATCCTTTTATGTTTGTGCTGCAATACATGGTTGTGCTGGATGGAACAATCCATTAACTTTTATCCCAGGAAGCGTTTCAACTACAGAAAGGTTTGCTTAATCTCACTAGAGTCCATGACATCGAACGTTGCTGAGTAGACTATGCAGTACCTCTTATATTTGTATGATTCTGCACTGGTGGCTGATCATGATCAAGATTTTTACTTACTTGTGGAATAATTTTGTTGCTTCTGCAACTTTCTTTACATTAATCATTCATTTCACCAATAAAAATATAGAAATGCTGACAAAAAACACTAACCTGGTTTGTGTATTAACATGTTCTGGAGGATTGTTCTGCCCCTTCTCTCCTGCAAAACAAAACAATTCCTTTCATTAATGAATATTCAACTCAGAAGTATTTTGAAAAACACGCCATTGCTAACAACATTAATGCTGCAAACTGGCTGTTATGAAACAACTGTACTGGCTCACTGGGCATCTGTGTAGCTACTAAGTTATAGGCTGTCTATGATGATCCAAATGCAATTCAGGTACATGGTGCACAAATGCCAAGGTGACTCACATACAGTGAGCTGGAGAGTACTGCTAAACAATTTCATTGTCAAGGAAAAAGATTCAAGGCATATTCAGAACTGACAGGATAAAACATATTGGCTAATCTTTTGAATTCTGAGCTGTAAAGTATACAACAATGGACCATGGCCATTGAGTGTTAAAGCTTGTTTGAACAGAAACAAAGCAGTCTTAAGCAGAAAAGGCAGAAGGGGCAGCAGCCACAGGAGCAGCTTACAGTTTTGGGAGCACTCCCAGTTGTGTGATTAAAGGTATTCACCATGTACAGACACATTTGTGTGGAAAGACACCTGTCTTTCCACCAGCATGGCGATACCATTTTCAGCTAAATGGGACTCACAACGGTGGTGCACGATTTATGTACCACTCCTGCGATAGAACAGCTCACTCTCTTTACAATAGATTTGCAGTGATGGGCCACAGCTGTGAGGCAGGGACTCATGACCTTTCCTCAGAAGCACTGTCACTGCATAGCAATGGCTGTAGCAGACCGGCCTGGGCTACAAACTACCATGTAAAGTACTAGTGGTAGTCCAGACTGAACTCTTTGCTGTTATTATTGCACTGGTATCTTCAGCTGAATGGGACTAATAAGGACTGCATTACAGAGAAAGGTATGGATGATTCAGAGGCTTTCCACTTGCACAGACAGCTGAAAGGGTTAAGGATTAGGGAAAGGTTACCTCTTCTCCCTAGAAGCATAATTTGCTCTAGACAATTTCAGAGGCATTTTGTATATTGACTTTGGATTTCTGTTTTAGAATCACATGGCATTGAAAGAGGTCAGGGTAGTTTCTTTTTTTGTCTGATCATTCTTTTATTTCAAAGAAATCATGTAATTATGTGACTGCCTTATGGTTTCTATTGTATATTATGACTGTCCTGCAGACCATGAATGTTTCTTCAGCTGGTTCGTTCACCTGATGGGCCATGAAGTTACTTGTGGAAGATCTGTAAGAATAGTCTCTGTGTATACAAAAGGCACATTTTGAACCTAGCATCTGGTGCTATGACCTGTGGAGAAGGAAAAGAACAACCCACCTTAAACCACCCTTCAAAATTTTAGCAGCAATTTCAAATCCTTTTCTGGTAGCATCTGACTGGGGTCCTAATATCCTGATGTCTGAATTTTAAAAGCAACAGAAGCCTTATCTTTCTTCTCTGCTCAACCTCTCTTTCCCCAACACACCTTTCTTCAGTTGCATAATTCTTTGCTATACAGATACTCTAAATACCGCTTTTGAAATTAATTTGTATTCCCACAATTTGCTCACTGATGTTTTTGTTCTACTGATGTGCTGAGCAGACTGTGACTATGTCTGTTTTTCCTGAGCTAGATCACTCTAGGATGAAAAACTGTGCTCTTTGAAATGCTACGTCTGTGGTCTTCTACAACGCAGGCTGTAAGTGGCACCAGGAAACTGCATTAAAGTTTTTGCAGAATAATCTATTTCAATATTATTAAATTTGGCAACTAATATCTGAAAAGCATGCTCTTTCTCAAGTTCCTTAGTAACAGAAGTTTCTCCATTCCTCTGCAAGAGCTAAGGATTCTGGTGGGAAGAAAGACTAGTGATATTGGTAGTCTAGCCAAGAACAGGAGAGAGAAAAGTTGCAATAAGTATAGTGTGGGCATATCACAGCAAGCAGTCCTGCGTATGCTCATCTTACCAAATTCTTTGAGTTCACAGAATGGTGATTCTGAGAGTGATCGTACCTGTCAGTACTCATTACAAAGGAATAATATGGAAATTAACTGAAAATTCTCTAGAGGCACTCTGCAAGACTGAATTTCTCATATTTTTGTTTTATTTGCACTAGCCATGCTGCACTATGTGCTGTGATAACCAAATCATACTTACTATTCAAGTTCCAAGGAATAGCTTTTATCATTATTTTTGCTTCAGCCATTTCAGTATGCTCCTTCCTTTTCTGCAAGGTTTCATACCCTATGATGAATGAATCTTTCATTCTGGAGATTTTTGGGTAAAATCCTCTAATTCAGGCTTTATTTATTTATTTATTTATTTAAAAGAATGGAATTATTCCAAGTAAAACTGCATGTCTGACATTGAGCTCCATCCATCACTTTATTTAGTAAACACAGAACAGGCAGTTTGGGGTGTGTCACAAAATTACACAAGATATATTTCAAGGAGTTCAGCAAGTCTGCCCCAAGTACAGCTGAGAAGCTGTACTGTTGCCTTCACAGGTGAACCTGATAAGGTAAGCATTTCTTTCAATTATGAATTAAGTTTAAATTTGCAATTAAAAAAAAATTATCTCTCACAAAACTTAAAAAAGACAGATGAAGCCTCATGCTTGTGACCTGATTAAAGGATGCCTTCTGAGGAAACCTCATCTCACCTTCAGATGTGTTTTACATTATTTTACTCTTTCACATTCTGCCATTCATAAAGTATTTGATTGTATGAACTAAAGCTTTGTTTACTAACTATTCCATGTCAAACAGCTGGTGATATGTTATGACAGCCTTTCTTCCTTCTTCCTCTATCCCTTCAAATTTTAATTTAGACTTAAAAGACAAAATTGAATGTGTTGAAATTAAAGAGGATGCAATTAAAGCTTTATGCAGGGTTTATGGAAGATAGTCTCTGAATGAAATTAACGAAGGCAGCATGTTCAGGTGACCCCAGCATAGTGCAGCTCTGTATTATCTTTAATAATTACATTTTAAAATTATTTCTTTTTAAATTATTTCTATTTTTATCTGAATTATTTCTAATAATAATAATAAATCTACCTTATATCACCTATATAAGTGGTTCAAGTTAGAAAGAGATTGAGCATCCATTCTAGCAGGAACACAGCTAGATGCACTGTTCAAATTATTCCACATTAAGAGATGACTGTCACACGCATGCCTTGATTCCATAGGGACTGTGACATATATTGTAGAGTATTCTGCATTTTGATATCTGGCAGCCACAAAGTTTGCACTGCTTGAAGATTCCCAAGAGCTCTCTGGATGCAAATGGGGAAATTCCACCCTACCAAGGTTCTCTCTGTTTGTGTCAACACATGGGAAGTTATAGATAAACACTATACTGCTGCATTAGACTTTACAGTACTGTATTTTCTACTCTATGTTGTCTTCTTACTAAAAAATCCTTCCCTTCAGTGTTAGATGAAATGCTAAGTGCTGAAACCACAGGGAAAAATTTACAAAAATGTCAGAAAAAAATATTTAAATATTGAAAATGTGAAGGTCTCTGCAAATTAAACACAAGGCTAAACAAGCACTGTCTTATTAAAAGGTTAAGGTGGATTTTCAAAAAGGTGATATAATAAATACTAAAGAACACTTAAACCACAATGAATGGAACATGTACTAGTTATAGATGTTCATTATAAACTGGATTAATTTGATAAATCTCTTGCAGTGTCCATTGCTATGCCTTTATTATTATACTTACAAAAAACCAAAGGTAGCATGGCTAACTTTTGAGACCTCTGATAATGTTGGTGGTGTAATGACCTGGCTTCTATTTACGGTAGGCTGAAATTAAAGTAAATCTAGCAAAACTTATGCTGTTGCTTCAGATTGCACATTGTATACTGGGATTTACTGTAGTTTGGATCATGGAGGGCTGATCTGTAAACTCATCTTAAAAGTAATGTTAAAAACTATAGTGAATAACTTGTTTTGGAGTCTCAAAATAATGAAGATTCTGAGAACAAACCCACATGTGTTTTTTTCCTTAAAAGATAAGACTATAAGTGAGCTTTTTTCAAAATAACTAATATTCTTTGCAACATTTTCAACATATGGTATGCATGTACAGAGAAAGAGAACTCAAGTTTCAGACAAATGAATTATCACCCTATGCATAACTGGTAGCTCTGCAGCTTTTTGATTGCTCATGAATCCAAAAGCATGTCTACCTTTCAAATCCACACCACTGGATTCTGTTTGCTGAAAAAAACCCTGTGAACCAAGTTCACAGGTTCAGGTGCACTGACTTTCTTGCATTACAATGAATATATTTCATGATAATAAGTCAGACTCTTTCTGTTTGCTTTAGATAACACTGATTTCACAATGGGCTCCATCAGTGCAGCAAATGCAGAATTTTCTTTTGATGTATTCAAAGAGCTGAAAGTCCACCATGCCAACGACAACATCTTCTATTCCCCCCTGAGCATCATTTCAGCCCTGGCCATGGTCTATCTGGGAGCAAGAGGTAACACTCAATCTCAGATGGAGAAGGTAAGTTACTTACATGGATGTAAAGTGACCTTGACTTGTGCTTGGTGTTCCTTCTAAGTAACGTCACTGAAATATATATTATCCACTGGTGAGGTTCTCACCTGTTTTAATGCACCAGAAATAAGCCAAAGTCACAAAATGAAGAACTGGATTGAGAATTTTTTAGAGAAACCACCAACGATGTATATTTTTGTTATAAGAGGCAGTTAGTTTTGACTTAGAAAAGTATCTCAAGGACAATAATGAAATGGATTACTAGTCAGCAAGTTTTATATGACTTTTTTTCTAAATTCATCATCTTCCAGTTAATGCATTTTTTTTTTTTTAATGTATAAAAAAGGTAAATCCCAGGAAGAGAGAGAGAATATTATTAGCAGTACATAATATGTAACTCAGTTAATTTCTAGGCATTCACTTAAAAAAATATTACCTAAGCAAAAAGAAGTATTTACAGTTTCTCAGAAGGCCACAGAGGCCATAACCCAGTTGTAAACTCACTTGTAAATTTTTAGTTCATCTATGTTCTCAGCACTTTTTTTTTTCTGAGCCAACATCTTTACCTCCAGCATCGTGTGTAAATCTCTAATTCAGATAATTTTTGAACACGTTTCTAATTTCTGGCATTTTCTCTTGCAGGTTCTTCACTTTGATAACATTACAGGAGTTGGAGACCCTAATGACTCCCAGGTAGAGAAATAACTCGATCTCCCTTTCTGTCCTATTTTCTCCTCAGAACAAAACTAGAACTGTTCTGCTTCTCCTTCTGGCACTTTCAGACCTTGTCAAAAACCATGAAAACGCTCTCAAACCAAGGAGGTTTGTGGAGGGAGGGAAGGAGGGTGTAACTCACCTATTTGTTAAAAACCAGGGAAAGATGGCAGGTTGCACATCTTGCACCAGAACAAGCGATGGTGTTGGGCAGGATTCTTTGGGCACGAGGGTGCTTCCTAGGAAAGTGCTGCTGGGGACAGCATGTGAAAGGGGAGCCAGGGTACAGCAGTCAGACTTGCAGCTGAGAGACTCCAAAGCAGATCAGGAAGATGCTAGGCAGAGAAAAGCTCAGAAGCCTCAGTGACAGGAACTTATCTTGAGAAGGATGATCTTGTCAGTTCAATGCACCATCACCACAGCACCTGCTGTCCCAAAGGTGACAGCCCTATGTCTGTGGAAGAGGACTCAACCGCAGCATGACTCTTACTGATAGGGACAATCCCGTCGCGTCTTATTTCCTAGATAAGATGAAGCTAATGCCACGTATCTTCTTATTTTCATGTCATCATGTCAGTGCGGCACTTCTGAATACCTCCACAATTCATTCAAGAATCTTCTCTCTGACATCACCATGCCAAATGCTACGTACTCACTCAAGATGGCTGAGAGACTCTATATTGAAAAAACATACCCCGTTCTTCCGGTGAGTAGTGCTGTAACCCGACTTCAGCGAGATTCCCCATAAAGGCCCCCATGACTCTCCCTTAGAGAAACACCACCAACAGTAGCCCACTGTCTGTTGATGAAGAGGTGGTTGTGAGGCATGGGGGGAACCCTCCTGTGGCTGTTAGGTGGAGGCCAGGCAAAAGTACAATGGCATAAAATGTAACAACATTGCAAGTCACAGGGAGCGATCAAGACTACTGTTCGCTTGCTAGAAAATGGCTTTTAATGAAAAATGTAACTTTTAAGGGAAATGAAACACATTTTATGACGTGAAAGTATGAAGATTGCCAAATGTAAGATTGAAAGTATGAAATTACCAAATTTTGGTTTTTTCAAAGCCAAATATCAAATCTTCCCAGTAAAAGGAAGCTTTGGTTTTGAAATCTAAGAATGTGAAAATACAGTATGCAAAATAAGAAGCAGGCACGAAGAGAATGAAGCAAACATTGTCTGTCCTTAAAAATGTTTGTTAAAATGGAAGTATTTTGGTAAAACGTAGAAAGTACTTCGAAATCTTAACTTAGAATCCTATCTGAAAAAATTGCCAGACCTAAACATGTGAACTAAGTCTTTCTTCTCCAGCTTTAAGATTCAGTTACAGGAAAACAGCTGCGACTGATGTGTTCAAACAGAAGGGTAAAAGTTCACTGTTCTTTTAACCATTCTGCTTCATTTCACAGTCCTGCATTTCACATTCATACATTTTCAAGTTCCCATCAGTCTGACAGCTGCCATCCTTCTTCTTACAGGAATACTTAAAGTGTGCAAAGAAATTCTACAAAGCGGGACTGGAAGAAGTTAACTTCAAAACAGCTACAGAGGAAGCAAGACAGCTTGTTAATTCCTGGGTGGAGAAAGAAACAAATGGTAAGGACTGAAAAATGAGCAGCAGATATTTTCCTCTACCTACTATAATCTATACTTGTCTTCCACTTCTCATAGAGGAGAAAGTGGGTCAAGCAAAAGCAGGTTTCGTAATGCTATGAACGGTTCCCCCCCCGCCAAAGCGGTACCCTTCACCCCCATACCCTTCACAACAGGCATTTGTGCACACCAGAGGAGATTTATCTTACCACTCTCTGCCCTGCTTCTCTCTTAAAGGACAGATCCAAGATTTCCTTATGTCAGGCTCTGTTGATTTCGATACTGTGCTGGCCCTTGTGAATGCCATTTACTTCAAAGGGATATGGAAGATGGCGTTTAAAGAAGAAGACACTCAGGAAATGCCCTTCAATGTGACAGAGGTAGGAGGGCACAGAGGTTGGAGGGCACGGGCACAGGTTCTGGCCAGGATGGCTGTTGGCTCACAAAGCCAGCAGTCTGGGTGTTACACAACAAGGAGCGTTTGCAATAGCTGTGTCTGATCAGGCTTCCATGACACACCAGCAAGTGAGGAAAATGGGAACACAGCTCATCTTTGAAGACAACATGCTTGAACATCAAGCCCTGTCCCTTTCATAGGGTTTGTACATTTGCCTGCTCAAAGAAAAATTGCTCCCTGGTCATGTTCTCTCATATTTCTGCTTTTGCAGCAAGAAAGCAGACCTGTGCAAATGATGTGTCAAAACAGTACCTTCAAAGTGGCAGCGGTGGCTGCAGAGAAAATGAAGATCCTGGAGCTTCCGTACGCCAGTGGGCAGCTGAGCATGTTGGTGCTGTTGCCTGATGACATCTCTGGCCTGGAGCAGGTAGGGGCCTGGCAAGGGAAGCAGAGGAGTTATCACTTCAGTGGGACTTGCCTACTGGCAGACCTTTTGCTGTCCAGGTACATGGCAGCTGCCCCCACCAGGGCTGTGCTGGGCAGGAGGGGAGCACAAGAGCCCCCCAGGATCAATCAGGAGCTCAGGCAGAGAGTGGCCTCTTAGGAGAGCCTTGGGCTCACCCTCATAAAATGAAGGCACAGGAGCGTAGTGCTGCTGGAGCCCCGCAGAAGAGGATGTACGTACGGGCAGATTTTTCTTTTTTTGTTGAGAGGTTATTTCACCCACCTCCCCACAGAAACTGTGTAGGAAAGGTTGCCAAAATTGATGAGAACTAGGCATTCTTTGCAGCAATCACTCATGTTTTTTTGTGGTTTTTTTTCCCACAAAATGACCACTAAGCATCGGAAACTGGCTGCTTACAAAAATTGCTCTGATTATGTTAGCATTGAATGAAAAATGAAGTTAGATAAGGCATCTTCTTAATAAGATATTGTTGATTGTATCAGTTCTTTTGTGTACACAAAGTAAATGGAAAGAAATATTAACAAGTGGTATAAACACAGCTAGTAAGGCCATCGCAGTCTAGTCTCAGGCATTTCATTCCCTGCCTCTCTTTGCAGCTTGAGAAGAAAATCAGCTTTGAAAAACTTACTGAGTGGACCAGTCCAAATGTGATGGAAAAGAGGAGAGTGAAAGTCTACCTCCCACGCATGAAGATTCAGGAAAAATATAACCTCACATCTGTCTTAACCGCCTTGGGTATGACTGACCTGTTCAGTCCTTCAGCCAATCTGTCTGGCATTTCTTCAGCAGAGACCCTGAAGATGTCTGAGGCCATCCATGGGGCGTACATGGAAGTCAATGAAGAGGGCACTGAGATGGCAGGCTCAGCAGGGGTGATGGGAGACATCAAACATTCCTCTGAGTTGGAAGAGTTTAGGGCTGACCATCCTTTCCTTTTCTTCATCAAACACAACCCAACAAATATCATCCTCTTCTTTGGTAAATATTGTTCCCCTTAAGGAGAAAAAGGGTTGGAAATAATGCATGCCTTGCCCTCAGAAACAGACCCCCCTTACTTTAGTATTATAGTATCTCATCTCTTAAATATTTTCTCCAAGGGAAACGTCTTCAATATCTAGGGAGATATTCTTGAAGAAGCGGGTGACTTTTCTGATTTCCAGGTGCAGGTATTTCTGCTCATGCAGAATCTTGTATTCAAGATTTATATTCAGGATTGAATGAGATTTTCAAGAGGTAGTTGAGGAATATTTCCTATTGTCATAGAATACCCGAGAGACATGGCCAGTGTTTTGATTTCTGGGAGAAATCCTGCCAGTGCTATCGAGAATCTGGTTTCTCTACAGAAGTTCTGTGAAATAAACACAGCTTTCAAAATAATCTGAATAATCCTTTCCATTGAACTCACTGGGCCACCATCCTTGAATTGATGCCTGGAATACTTGCAGATGAAATTCTAAACTTCAGCAAAGCAGTCTTCTTCCAGAAGGCATTTAGACTTCTTTGTGCTGCACATACTATAAGGCTGTGTCTCTTGTTCTGAGGGTCCATACAGAAAGTCTGCCATTTCTTCATAAATCATAATCTCCAAATACAACATCTTCCTGACTGATATAATTTCTCATCTTTGTTTCAGTGACATATCATTGATTTTGTGAATGTCAATTGGTGGTTCTTCTATTTATTCTAATAAAAGCATTGCAAACTAAACATATCATTATCTATTCTGGGTTACCACACCACACAACCTGAAACACGATACAGTGGGTAGTGATTATTGACAGAAGTGGTTTAGACTAGGGTTTAGATCTTCTTTTCGAAACTAGAATGTACCCATACACAAAGTCACTAAACAACTTAAGAATGTTTTTTTTAAATTTTGAGCTTAAGCAAGGTAAACCCTACAGCTCCTATTATTACCTTGAGCTTATCTCCATATAGCACATGTAACTCTTTGAATGTGTCATTGTATTTTCGGATAGTTTGAAGAGATTTCCTCTAAGTATTGTCAGTAAACATATCAAGTTGATGTCTACTAGAGACAAGCTCAAAAATATGAGAAGATTGTTCGTCTTAAAAGGTGGACTGCTTCAGCTCTCTTATACCTACAAGAATCATACAAGGAAATCTTTCTTATTGTCTCTTGATGTGATAGTCCTCTAGAGATGTTGCTTTCTGTTTCACAGTCTTTAGTGGGAAGGTTCTTTAGGTTACAGTTTATCCAATTAAAAAGATTATTAACATTAATTGCCAAGTTAAGCAACCTCCCTTCTACTGGGATAGACATGCAGAACTATAAATTACAGTATCAGTATCTAAAGTGTTTAAAAAGGAGACACATAGTGGTATTTGGAGCTGCCCCAACTATTTTCAAAGTCAGCATTAAATATAACTTGAAATGATGAAGCAACGGGGAAACACTTCTACATAGCTGCTATGAATTCTGCAGAACTGCAAATACTGGTCTTCCCAAGGCAATCATAAAGGATTAGCTACAGTTCAAGTATTCAAGCAAAAAAGTATTTCAAGATATATGACATTTCAAGGTTTTCCTGTGTACATTATGTTCTGCTTCCCTTATAGCCAAAATATAGCTATGACTTAAAAAAAAAAAAAAAAGGCAGGGTTTGTAAAATGTTGTCCTAAAAAGCAGAGTGTGTAAGGTTATTAAACAATTATAAAACTGCTATTAAATTGAAATAAGCAAAGAAATTAACAAATTGAAGAATAAGCAAAGAAATAAGCAAATTGAAATAAGCAAAGAAATGGAGAAAATCAAGGCTGAAATGGTAAGTAACTCCTAGAAGTACACAAGAGAGGTTTTCAAGGCACAGAGTCCACCTAACGTCTTCACTGTGAAACAGAAGCATTTGACTCTTGTTTTAAACTGGTCCATTAGGTGTCACTAGGGATATGAAGCAATGTTTATTACTCTTCTGTAAGTTAGACATCTGTTGAAAACTAGGTTTGGGAGCTTAATGTAGATTCCAATTTTGTGCTTATTTTAAATTTTGTGCAAGCAGGTGATTCTGACCGATATAGTGAAAATGTAGACCAGTGGCACTGTGCTTGGAACCCAGTAATTTTGTAAGAAAAATATAGAAATATTATTTGATGAAAGTGCAGAGGCATCTTAAGATGTCTGTGCCCTGAACAAAAAAATATTATCACAGTCAAATACTGTAGAAGGGAGAGAGCTATTTGTTTTATGAAGGAGAAAACATCCTCTGTGGAGGCTAAAATGAGAGGTGAAAGTGCAGATTCAACAAAGTTGAATGAATCTATTCCTGCCATATTGATAGCTGGGCACAAAACTGTGCCTCTACATTGCTGGTCTGGGCCAGCAGGACGTGCTGTACAGGAGCTGCCGTGGCGAATGTGGCTGCTGCAGCCCCCATGGGGAGCAATTCTGCAAAGAGCAGTAGGGAGGGTGTTACAAAGGGACGAGGGGAGAGCAGCCCTGCTGCTTCTGAGCTCTGAAGACCAGCGAGAGTTTAAAAACATGAATCCCAGTTCCCATGAAGTCCAGGTATTGTCAGATAGTCCTTTCTGTTCCCTGGGAGCTTGACTAAGTTCTACGTCAAGAAATTGCCATCTGTGCATCCACTACACTCCATTTTCACTATGTGCTGTGATGTTTTGGGTACACAGCATTGCAAGGGGATTGTGAAACAAAAAACAGCCACATGCAATCACGTTCTCTTTAATGCTGCGTAGGACAGCATTAGCAGTGCTCTGTCGACTAAGTGTGCCTTTCCTTTTCTTGTCACTTGTGAAATGGATGGAGCTGACATATCTTCTCTGCCCTTTGGGGAATATAATTATCATCTGAGACCATTCCACATTTCTCTGCAAATTTGACTTCCAAGAAAGGCCTACCTTCTCCTAAACAAACGAAATCCATGGCTGAAGGCACAACACTTTGCAGACAATATGCTCTGATCTTAGTCACCAGAGGAAGAGTACTTAGAGAACCACCTAGACTCCAGGGGGTAAGCTATCCTGGGCTCCCAAATGATATATGAGAAAGCACAGCATGCTGAATGCAACTGAAAACTACATATTGGCTAGAAAGGATTTGACAAGGAGCAGTGGTTCAGTTTTCTCTTTCTTGTGGCTAGTGAGCTAAGATTCTTCAATCTGGAAAAGAGGCAGCAGAGAGGGGATTGTCAAGGAGCAGCAGGGGTGAGGCTGCTCAGCAAGGGAAGGGGACAGCAGGTGATGGCAAGGCCAGCAAGGCAGAGGCCTCCCCTGATAAGGTACTCAGTGCTACAGTTCCCAATGCTACTGCAACAGTCCTGTGATTTCCAAACAAGTCTGTAGCGAAGAGGCAGGACAAATCGCAAGCCTGGATGTTTAGTCCATGTGTCAGGGTCCGTAGTGATCCTGACCTGAAGACTGTTGTCCATTGAGGAGTTAATGATCCACATACAAGTTGTCCTGATCAGGCACAGGCATGTGCTGTGCTATGTTATGCTGCACATATCGCTTGGACTCCAGGCCTGTGCTGTGCTGAATGTATCACGTGGCTGCAGGATAAACTTAGAGGGCTAATCGTAATGGAGGAGCCTGTAGACGGCTCTGACTGTCCCCTGGTAATGGTGCTGCTGGCAAATCCATTGTCTTTATCTTGAAGTGGAGATGCATGTTTCTATATAAATATACTTCTTTTTTGACAGTAGAAATGATGAATGGAGTTGTTTATTGCTAAGAACACATCCATAAAAGCTGTAAAGATCACACCACCAGTGAGTGTCTGCATACACGGGATATGCAGTGTACTGTGCCCTGAATAAAGATCCAACCAAAGCTGCACATCTTGGTGTTCCCACCATCTGAAGGGACATTAAATTCTCTCTTCAATCTCCTTTTCCCCTCACATGTTATCTCCAATAAATTGTATTTTAATCAGTTTCTTACTAGTGTCCAAAAGGAACACTTGCAGTGGTGCATTACAGGGTCCAGCTCGGTGACTCTCATGGCGAGGCACAGCCACACAAGGTAGCAAGGACCACAATCAAGAGACTCAGTTTAAATGCTTTTCTCAGGTGAGAGGGATGCCAATGGAGGCATCTCACACCTGTCACCAACAGCACTCTGATTCAAGGCTGGACAATTGCTTCAGATGTGCCTGAGCCCAGGTAGACAAACTCCTAGGAGAGGAATGATGTTCTGAAAACCAGAGGTTTCTGAAGTCCCAGATGATATGGAGACAATGACAGAGATTGACTATTCAGTATATCTTCTGACACAGGAATTTACGGGTATAAAAAGAAGTTAGTAGAAAGCAGTTTAAAAAATGCATATGCAGGTAGCTGCCAGCAAACAGGTAGCTGAATCATGGACCTCATGGTAAAAGGATGCTGGAGATAATAAAATTTTGCATGATTTTAAAGGAAGACAAAACCATGGGAGAGAAATCCACTGAGAGATAATATATATATTAAAAATATATAGAAAATACTACCAGCTATTGAAGTCCCAGGACTGAAAACAGCCAACATTAGGACTCTGACAACATGAACAGCCTCAGCAGAAGCTTTCCCTCACACCCCCTGGGCATAGGACCAGGAGCCTGTATTGGGCACTCGCACCATTTTTGTACTAGGGGTGCTCTTTGTGAGAGGAAGACATGAACTGCCCTCGGCCAGTCACAGTCAGTTGCAGCTGGCCCTGTAATGGACAAAAAGAACTCATTGTATGCCAAATCTTCAGACAGTCAGAGAAGCATGTGGCACCTCTGCTCAAGCATAATTAAGAAAGGGTGGCAGAAGAAATGTGAGAGAGGTGTTTGGAGAAACAAAACAGAGGAAACACATGGAAGGAGATGTCATTGAGAGCACAGCTGAAGGCACGCTCCTGGGAAGAGGTGCTCCATGCCAGAGGAGGCACCTCTGAGGGGCTGCAGCCACAGGCAACCCATGCCAGTGCAATGACACCCCTAAGCGACTGCATCCCACAGATGACTGATGTTGGAGCAAGGACATCCCTGTGGAGCAAA